CATAAGACACTCACTGACGTTATATTAAAAGCACCTCTTCCGTTCAGTAAAAGAGGCCGTTAAGACTATTTCTGAGGCGAAATCCGCGTAGGCATATTTTTCAATATAAGCTCTTTTCAAAATATTTCCGCCTTCCATGAAATCTCAAGATACTACCGGACTCAAACAATGAATGATGACTTTACATTTTTAATCTTTACGTACCATAAACCGTCTTTCACTCGCACTCGCTTCCATCTGAAGACGCTGAGAAAATGGCGGCTTCTCGCACTGGTGTCGTCGAGATACGTCCGATGTTAACAACGTGACGCGCATGCTCTCTTTCATGTCCGCGTTCCCAACCCAGCACCGCTGGGTTATAGATCAAGACCAATTTTCAACCTAAAATTGGGTTAAAACAACCCAACATCCTTACCCAGCGGTCTCAACCCAGCATTTGGGTTGAAAAAACAACCCAGCGTTTTTTAGAGTGTATGACATTGAATGCAGCACAACCTATCAGGCACATCTTATCACATACTGTAGCTAACGAAGCACAAAAACTCATTGTCCTGCTGAATAACAAAACTCTGTTGATATGATGATGATGTAATGATAATAACAGATGTTATGTCTTTCACTTAATGTTATGGCTGTGTCTTTCCCTGACTTTCAATTAATTACCATTGTATGCTGGGTAAATCTTCTCTTCAGGTAGCACGATCTGTAAAAAGCATTTCAGATATAAATGGCTTCCTGTGTCCAATAGAACCAGATACATGCTTCATGCAGAAAATCAGTTTTCAAAGAAAAAAACAAAACAAAAGCAATGGCCACGCTAAAGGAGAACAATTTGTTCCTCTGCCAGCAGGAGAACATTTTGCCTCTTTACTGCCTCTTGATTGTCCTTTCATTGAATTTCCTGAGAAGCACTATTGTCTCATTTACCCACCCTGCTGTTTATATGGACTTTAACTGTATCCAAGAGAAGTCTACCTTACAGAAAATGGATACAGGGTAAACAAAAATGTGCCTTACAGCATAAAATACCATATGATGATCATAAAATATGTTTAATAGAACCGAGGCTCACTGGAAAAACATGCCTGTGGCAACATTTCTGCAGAATGCATTATATATATGCTGCTTCTTGCACATTTTGTGACACTATTAAAGTGAACTGTGCAGTGAGTCATGCTAAAAGCTTGTTCAGTTTTATCTGGAACAGATTAATGTGAATCTGTCAATGCTTCATTATCATGCCAGTTCAGAACTAAAATGTCCGGTGAGTAGTGTTTTAAGGCTCTATTGTATTTGAAAATAATGTACCAACTACTCTAACCCTACCCTAAACCTAACCGAGATAAAAAGTGAGATAAAAGTGCATTTGCTTGAAGCAACCATACCATTTAGTTTGCTTCTACCAGTCTTTGAGTTATTTTATTATGAGTGCAATTCTGTACCAGGTGAGCTTCAGAGCAAGTTTACTACATCAGAAAAGCCATACATAAGAAGCTGGTTGTGTGATGCAAATGTCAAAATGTATTAGTTTACACATCATGCACTATGGTAAAATATTTTAAGGTCATAACAGCAAGGAACCACATGAAAATAAGTCTTTATTCATCAGTAATCATGCCCTTCTAATCAATATTTGTGTGAAAATTAATCAAAGTTGTTGCTGCCACTGGCTGTAGTTTTGTCACAATATAGGTAAAGGCACATTTTCCAGTGTTTCTACAATCTCTCATTTGAAACATGTCACAATTGTGACAAAGAAAATAAATGTTTTTTGATGAATGAAAGCAACTAGCTTGGTGTCCTTGGGAAGCATTTCCTGTATCCAGTGTGGCTTAGATATGGCATATTAGACATGACAAAGATATATTGGTTTTAATATAGTAAGATGCTTATCCATAATCTTATTCATCTTTATTTCATAGATGGTTTGGCAGCCTTCAGAACCTTCCTCAAAACAGAGTTCAGTGATGAAAACATCGAGTTCTGGTTGGCTTGTGAGGACTATAAAAAGATCAAATCCCCTGCTAAGATGATGTCTAAGGCCAATAAGATCTACAAGGACTTTATTGACGTTCATGCGCCCAGAGAGGTATGTCGACTACTTCTATAAAACCGTAGCAACCACACCTGAACATATAGTACTCTTGTGGGTACTGTATGTTCAACATTGCTTGAGAGGAATTTTTTAAATCACCAGTGCTATACATAATGTTGCTAATAGTGTATTAATAACACTTCAATCTGTATATATGCCGTGTTTCCAGACACTACAGCCAACCATAACTTGAAAGATTGTGCTGTTTCCTAGCATTTTTTTGTTTTAATCAAATCAGGTTGGTAAGGTGGCTAAACATTTTCTTAAAGTATTAAATAGAAAACAGTTATTTTAAATTGTAATACTATTTCACAATATTACTGTTTTTAACTTAAGGAAGTGTGTGTATATATACTATTAACATTAACATTTATTAAAACCATACAGTTTTATAATATAAACTAAACATTTTATAAAACTGTACTGTTTTTATTTGCTTATATAGTGCACTTCCGAGTTTGAGACCTGTGCTATAAAAACTTTTCCTCCCTCGGAGTTTGTACTTTAGCACTGCCTACGCTCACTTCAGTTCTTCCAAACCTGAAGATCATCTTCTTGCTCAGCATGACCTTCAGATACTTTGTGATTCACAGCTTCTTATTTGGGAAGCACAGCCCTGTCCTTAAGCATTCTGACTGTGTGGGTCACAGAAAATACAAATAGCTCCTTTAAGATGGGACGTACCTACCAAATGTAATAATCCTGGTTTCTGTGCTCAGACAATCCATGAACTGAATAAAATTTGTTACAGTTCAGAAGCGTGAAACATGATCACCAGAGATAGTGGCAGTTTTTGTGTGAACTGGCTTTGCCAAACACTATTTTAATTCTAAGAATTGATAAAGAGCAATTGCACAGAATTTAATATTCTCTAACTCTTATATCTCTTAAGGTTAACATAGACCACAGGACCAGAGAGGAAACCAAACAGAGGCTTCTGGAACCAACTCCCAACAGTCTCGGTGAAGTCCAAGCTAAAGTGTACAGCCTCATGGAGAAAGACTCCTATCCTCGGTTTATAAGATCAAAGATCTATCAGGACTTACTGAACAGGACACAGATATACTGTCAAAGGAAATCTGTTTAAAAGTGAATGTTTTTTTTTTTGCTTGCCTGGTTAGATTATATTGAGATATTGAGCAGACTTTAATTGTAATATATAGCATAGTCTGTGTGTTTACAAAATAATTAGATTAGAATAATCAAATAAAAAAGTCAAAAGACAAACTAGTTCCTGCTAGTTTGTGCATTTAAACTTAAACATGACCCTGTACTGTGCTTCTTTGCCCAGTTCTATTTGTAACATGTGGCTATATTCTCTCCCTTCAATTGTGATAGAATGGTCAATGTTTCTTCTGAATGCTGGCATGCATGTAAATGTAAATCAGTCTCTAAATAGGTAATATGTAAGAATAAAGTATGATAATTTATTTTTCTTATCTTCAATGTAACTTGTGTACACATTAACACTGATATATTTCGATAAAACAACTTAAGACATGCCTGCTGTGTTACTGCATGCAGCCTCGGCCTTTGAACATCTCTTATTGATTCCCTTTAAATCTAAATCTAAAAATACTTTAATCCCACACACATACGCACACTGAATATATTTTTTCTCTGAAGGGGTGATATTTTTAATGTAACGTTTATGTTTGTTTATTTTGTTGTTTATTAATTTATTTCACGTGTTGATGTTCTGATGGTTTACAACGACATGTTCTTGTGATGATACTAGATCAAGTAAAGCATGTCACTTCAAACTGTTGGTTTGTGGGTTTTTGGCTGAAAATGTGTTGTCTGTTTGAATGTGTGTCAAACTTTATTCCTTGAGTTGTCTGGGAAATGAAATAATACAAATGAAATATACAAACTGATTTTAAATCACTCCACTATAACATATTTTCTTCTGTTTTGCAGTAACATACAGTAGGTTCAAAAGTTCAAAGTTTCATTTTTCACATTCACAATGGAACAAAGGAAGGAAAAAGTGCTGTACTAGCTTTGAGGGAGATACTGTAGAGAGATAAGTTTAATTGTATTTTTATTTTACTATCAGTGCTTTAAAAAAGTGCAATGTTAAACAAATAGTTCACCCAAAAATGGAAATTTGCTGAAAATTCACTCACCTTCAGGCCATCCAAGATCCTCTGGAGTGAATGGGTGCCGTCAGAATGAGAGTCCAAGCAGCTGATAAAAACATCACAATAAGGCATAAGTAATCCACACGACTCCATTCCATCATTTAATGTCATGTGAAGTAAAAAAGCTGTGTGTTTGTGAGAAACAAATCCATCATTAAGGCATTTTACCTGTAAATCATTGCTTCTGACCAAAATACGAGTTCATAATCCATAATAATACTTAATCAGGTGAAAATGTTAATTGGTGGACTGGAGTCAAGTCAGTTACCTGTGGATTATTATGATTCTTTTATCAGCTGTTTGGACTCTTATTCTGACGGCACCCATTCACTGCAGAGGATCCATTTGTAATCAAGTGATATAATGCTAAATTTCTCCAAATCTGTTCTGATACGGAAAAAAAAACATGTCTAAACAGCCGAAGGGTGAGTACATTTTCAGCAAATTTTCATTTTTGGGGTGAAAGTTTAAATTGAGTAGCCTACTCAAAAATTAGGTAATTTGTAATTTGTATTGAGGTAATTTGTAAAATGCTCAAGAATAGAAATCCATTCCGAAATAAAATCTACGTGCTCCTTCTTTTTACAGTGTGGCACAATAGAATACTCTAGAATAACTAGGTACAAATGACCACAGACAGACTGCAAATGTTATAAAATCTCTTCAGCACACAGATGTGATGCCCTCGGCTCATTTGGTTTCTTCCCAGGGATATAGCCCAGACGGAATAATTAGATCTTCCACCCCTTCAGATCAGTGCTCCCTGAACACAGTTTAAGACAGAGAGAACATCTGCTGGCCTGGGGCAAAGTCCTCCCTGGAGGCATCGCAAATAGATTCACGAATCACAGACACATGCCTCCCTATCAAATCTGTGTTACCTTGAGAGAATGAGGGGAACCATTCAGGTGGGAGCTCAGGTTAATTACAGTCTTTTCTCTTTGTTTAAGAATTCCAGTATTCAAAGTTCCAAAATGAACTTTCTAAATATCACCATTATCGCATTCGGCGGTGCTGATGTGGAGATCATGAGAAGTGATAACCTGGGATTTAGGTGCAGTCAGGTATATACAGCAATATTTGATTCTTATTAGTATATTCAAATTCTGTTAGATGCTTCTCACCAGCTGAGCATCTGCTTGCATGATCAAAAGAAAATATGAAGTGCAGCAACAAACTCAAATATCAGTGCATTTTCTCCATTATTAACAATAATTTTACACTCGTTTTTCTGAATATGAAAATATAAAAACATTAATAATTGGATATTCTTTCCAGATGAATGACAATTTTTATTTGAAAATAGGTTGACATTTATATTAAGAAACTGCATTTATTTGTTAGGATGTTGCATGCATATTTATTTGTCTGGTGACAGAGAGAGCAAAAGAACATCTAGAGTTACTTCTAATATACAAAGGCAATGCTAAATGAATGATTGTATGAGATATTTATTATTGTTTTATCCATTCATTCATTCTCCAAGCTGAAGTTCATGAAATTAAAAGTTGCTTTAAGATTGATATTGATCTGTAGTTGTAGTTAATGATAGGCCTAAACAAAAACTAATCTGATAACTTTCAGTTTGCCTAATAAATATTCTGCTGAATAGCTATCATTATTCACTTGATCCTCAAAATTTGGGGAAAAATCAATTTAACAAAGGTATTGGTATTGGCAATATAGCCTTGATAATATACTTAGTAAAAAGTTATTATTTAAATATAATTTGAGGATTCAATGTGTAAATAAATGTATGATTACAAATGTCTGTGTTAATCATGATTAATCACAGAAACCTGTAAAAAAAAAAAATGTAATGTTTAAAATCAATTTACAGGTTTATGTGTTTATTTGTTTATTTATTTATTATTTCTTAAGGATATCATTGGATATCAATTTTGTCTCCATTATTGGTGATGATGTTTGAGAATAAAATGTGTAATATTTGGATATTTTTGCTTTGAGCAAACCGTTACTCATTGTTGAGCTGTTAATGTCAAGTAGTTAATTAAATTAATGTAAATGCCCAAATTAAATTAATGTAAATACCTGTTAGTATCAATATGAGATTCAGACTAAGATAATCTGCAATTGTATGTGAAACAAACTATTATATTTAACTCAGATGTAAAATCTGAACTAGAGAACTAGAGTAAAACTGGAGTAAATGATGTGGAGTTTGTACAATAAATTATTATCTCTTATATATCAAGACCAACAACTGACATTTTCTGATAACATCATATAAATGAGAATCAACTGAGTATTACACAGTTTCGTATTAAACTGTTCTAATACTACAAGTGTACTTTAAACATTTTGTGAATGATAGCCAATACTCAAGGTTTTCAAAACAGTAATGCCAGGAATCATCACAGGCCTGGTCTTTACCAACAATAAGATGATGTAGGTGGATTCCCAGACAAAATCCCCACTCATTGAGTCTCAGGGCTAATTCACAGCACTTCAGGAGCATTAGATCTGACAGCAACCTCGAGCGAGAGATTTGCACAGCGCTGTGAGAGTGTGTTGTTTTTTCCCCTGTACTGCCAGGAAACTAATCGTAGCATAACAAGCAAGCGGAAAATTAGTGGCCTTTCATTCAAGGTGTGGGTGATCATAATAACCATCAATGGTTATTTTCAAAATTTGAGTGCATAGATGTCTGTCATATAAAATTTCACTTAACATTTACTTCAAAAACATTAAGCACATATTCTTATACTGTCATCAAAAGTAGTATAATAAATGATGAGAGGGATAGACATACTGTAATGTAATTATTGGAACTTTTTAACTGTTTTGTTTTCAAGGTGTTCCAAAGAGCTTTGTGTCTGATTTGAGCTGAGGATTGAAGCATTGAAGATCCCTTTTAAATGATAATTTAAATGAATTAAATGAGAATAAATGAGAATTTTCAAAAAGTACATTTTGTCAGTTGCCTGGGAATTGAACCCTTGACCTTGGCT